ATATATATATATATATATATATATATATATATATATATATATATATATGTGTGTGTGTGTGTGTGTGTGTGTGTGTGTATACACAAATAAGAGAAAGAACAGAGGGAGTAAAATCCACCGTTCGTAGCATTTACATTTTTTTTTAAAGTGCTCAGTACAAAGTAGAACAAAATATTATTATAAGAGATTATAATATATTATAATACATTATTATAATAGATTATAATTTCCCTACAAAATTATTTTTGTCACAAGTTATCTATCATCGGCCGAGAAAATATCATCATAGTATTGAAACATGAAACATGAACTACCTGTTGTGTAGTGATGTAAAAAAGTTTTATTATAATCTATTATAATAAAAATATTATTATTATTATATATATATATATATATATATATATATATATATATATATAGATAGATAGATAGATAGATAGATAGATACACCTAGTGTGCCAGACAAACCTACCTAGGTTTCACCTAAACGGATTGTCAGGGAATGTAAGGCCTTACTTTCCTGACGATCCGTTTAGCTGAAACCTAGGTAGGTTTGTCTGCTCACTAGGTTTATCTAGGTCTGCTCTACGGTTGTATTGAGCTCTTTTGTTAGTTAGTTGTTACTCGTATCGGGGTTTTTTCTTTGGGCTTCAGACCTGCATCTGTGAGATTTTTTTTTTTGTCGGCAGAAGTCCATGTTTGTAGCTCTTTCTTTTTTTTAAACCTTTTTTCCCTCGAGATTGATTTGATTATTAGCAAATCAAAAATTCGTGGGTTTTTAGAAACGAGTCTAGTTATCTATAATTATATGTATATAGATAGATAGATACATACATACATACATACATACATACATATAGATATAGATATATATATATATGTGTATGTATAGTCAGGTAGCATATCTCCATTCAAACATGTTTAATTGAATAATATTCATTTTTATAAGGATCCTTTCCAGTTATATTTTCATATATTTTATTGTCTAATCAGTTTCTTGATATTAAGATGAAATTCTTCATGGAAGACGCCATATTTTTTTTAACCCAAGTAATTTCAAACTCCAGAGGCAAATTAGAAAGAGAAACTCATTGTAGCCAAAGTCTGTATTCCGTTGTGATGGTGATTTTAAAAAACACACACACGCACGAACGCGATCTAATATATTTATAGTTATTTTACATTTTTAATTCATCCGTTGTAGTTCTGGATTTTTTTTTTGAAAACAAGCCTTTCAGTATAAGGGAGCTGACCGGAAATGGGTAGAAACGCAAAATGTCATTATATGTTTGTCATATGCACTTCAGTACGTTGCTGCTTCACTCATAAATGGAGTTTCTGAATTTGAAGTTTTTGTGTATTATTTTCGTGGCGTAGTATATTGGTGTTGTCAACAAGTATTTTCTTGTATTGTGAAGGTGGACAGGAATGTAGGACGTCTTGATAATGTTGTGGTTGTCAAACCAATATTTGTACTTACTTTTTTTCAGAGATACAATCTCCCAAAAGACATTTGAACTGAGATACAATGTTGGTCTTTTCCAAAACACTAGTGTAATTGCGTATGATTAAGTTGGTTGTGTTAAATTATTGTTAAATTTAGGATAATATGTAGTTTTATTTTCTGTTTAGATCAGTAGGGAATATATTAATACTTATGAGGGGTTTTAGGACTTTTCATCTTGTTTATAGTTAGATTACATACACACACACACACACACACACACACACACACACACACACACACACACACATATATATATATATATATGTACTTGTTATGTAGTAGTTTCACAGTGGAGGCTTGTATTTGTACTAAGTCGGTCCTAAAATAGGTTCGACGTACAAAACGTTAGGAACTTGATATAATAGGTAATGACGCAGAGAAATCTAGTTGTGGTCGCTGATACTTTAGTATCCGACTAACGGTCGTCCCACATCGACTGACTGACCGAACCACTGAGCGATATTCAGTCACGAGGGTATCATGTAGCACAAGGCCGGTTTAGCGTGGGCTCGGCCAAAAATATGCCATTTTAAGACTCGTATAAACGGGTTCCGGGTCGGTTTACCTCCCCGAAAGAGACTCCGCCCTTCGGCGTAGCCTCGTTCGGCTTCCTCACCGCCCGTAGGCAGAGAGTTCAGCCGGTCGTCCGACTTCAGACTGAACGCAGACCGACCCACTGAGCGACCCCTCGTTACTCTTACTACTCCTACTTATCATAGGTAGGAGAGTCTATAGAATAGGTGTGTTCCACTATAACAATGTATAAAGTAAAACTTTTTATATATCCCTCATGGGTAAAAATATATAGTAAGACGTTGAAAATGCAAACTGATTAAGAATATTAATTTACAGTAACATTAAAAGTTTCACTTTTCTATGGTCTTCAGAAGTTGAAAATAATTCTCAAAATTGAGAGGGAGAGACCTATGGCTATATCATTTTCAGTTTCACATCTTACTGGATGTTTCCGTTTCACGCAGAAAAAGGGTGGCTCTGTTTTCTATTTTCTTAAAGCACGATCTGAGTGGTTGATTATGATCACGCGACCAGGCATAGTAATTTTTCCAAAAGTTGTTGATCATAAGAATTTTTTATCAAAAGTCTGAAGTAGTTCATGACAATAAAGTATTAAGTGTCAGGGATTCATAGCATTTTCAACTTCCTTTTAATACATACATACATACATATATATATTTGCAGAATGATAACGTTTCAAATGTCGAGGTCCTAGAACGATGTACCCAACATAGAAAGCCGGATAATCAAGGCAAAGCTTCGTTGCGGGGGCCACGTAAATCGGATGGAAGAGTCAAGAATTCCCAAAGGCATTTTCTTCAGTGAATTAGATCACGGAAACCTAACACTAGGCAGACTGAAACTGAGTTACAAGGGCACTGTTAAATACAATCTCAAGAGAGGTGACATCTGCCTTGATAGCTGGGAAACTACTGGCCAAGCCCGTACGACCTAGGCCCATGCAACCTGGAAGAGACTTGCAAAGAAGGCATCGATGCCTTTGAGATCGGGCATACCAGATCCCTCTTTGAGAAACGTGCCAAGAGGAAGACCAACAGTAGCACTCACAACTCACTTTATCAATGCAGTATCTGCAATAGGGCTTGCGGCTCTAGGATTGGATATTTACGAAAAAGGACTCATCGTTAATGTGTCGATGGAATATTCATGCGTTGAATCACGACGCGAGAATCCGTGCATATGGTAGTGAATGCTGAAAAATATCCTCACAGATGATGAGAAGACTTGAGACAACAGCGATGTGGTTCTACAGAAGAATGCCCAGGATAGAACAAGCTTCGTTGCGTGGGGCACTTAAGTCGGGTGTAAGACACAAGAATTCCCAAAGCAATCTTCTTCAGAGCACAGCAACAGACAACTAGGCAGACTGAAACTGAGTTACAAGGATACTGCTAAATACAATCTCAAGAGAGGTTACATATGCCTTGATAGCTGGGAAACTACTACCCAAGTCCGTAAGACCCAGACCCATGCAACTTTGCGGATACTTGCAAACAGGGAATCGATGTCTTTGAGAACAGGCGTACCAGTCTATTTTCTATTTTTTTTAAAGCGCGATCTGAGTGGTTGATTATGATCACGCGACCAGGCATATAAATTTTTCCAAAAGTTGTTGATCATAAGAACTTTTTATCAAAAGTGTGAAGTAGTTCATGACAATAAAGTATTAAGTGTCAGGGATTCATTGCATTTTCAACTCCCTTTTAATACATACATACATACATACATACATATATGATCTTTGAGAAACATGCCAAGAGGAAGACAAAGAGTAGCACTCATAACTCACTTTATCAATGCAGTATCTGCAATAGGGCTTGCGGCTCTAGGATTGGATATTCACGAAAAAGGACTCATTGTTAATGTGTCGATGGAATATTCATGCGTTGAATCACGACACGAGAATCCGTGCATATGGTAGTGAATGCTGAAAAATATTCTCACAGATGAGGAGAAGACTTGAGACAACAGCGATGTGGTTCTACAGAAGTCTACTCAGAATAGCACAGACTTCGTTGCGTGGGACACGTAAGTCGGGTGTAAGACTCGAGAATTCCGAAAGCAATTTACTTCAGTGAATTAAAGCACGGCAACAGACCACTAGGCAAACTGAAACTGAGGTACAAGGACACTGTTAAATACAATTTTAAGAGATGTGGTATCTGCCTTGATGGATGGGAAATAACTACCCAAGCCCGTGCAACATGAAGGAGAACTTGTAAAGAGGGCATCGATGCTTTTGAGAATCGGTTGAATATGTCCGGTGAGAAGTTGCACCCTTGTCTTATACCCCATTTCTATATTTGTTTATCTCCTGAAATTATTTTCTATCCATATGCAGGCCGTTTGATGCCAGTATCGGTTCTTGATTATTCTTATATCTTTCCTCAATATATACAAGTTGTTGAGCACTTCCAACAGCTATTTATGGCGTACATTATCGAACGCCTTTGATCAATCTATAAAGGACGGGCATACTTCTTCTGCATTTGCATTTTCGCGTTCCTTGTTCCATTGTTTTTGACGAATCTGCACTGTTCTTGTCCTATTTCCGGTCTGATTCGTACTGCGCGCTCTATTCATCAGAATTCGGATGATCAGTTTCATTATGTGCCTCATTAAGCTAATTATTCGATAGAGTTCGCACCTGGCTTCTCATGCAGTGCTATGAAAATAGATCTACTTAGGTCTTCCGGTATGTATCCACTGTTGTACATTTGATGTATTATTTCGGTGATCTTGTGTATAACGAAATCTTTTGAGGTTGGTATGAAAATCTTGAACCAATAGTTTTTTCTTGGCAACGAGCTTCTTTGAAGGTATAAACACCTATCAGCAGTTGTGAGATTTTAATATCTGCTTGGTAACGATGGAAAATTCTTCTTCTGTATGTTGTGTCCCTTCAGGACGTAGCCTATCATGGCTCTCCACAACTTCATGTCCTTTATAGTAGGTTATGTGGTCATTTCCTCTCTCTCTCTCTCTCTCTCTCTCTCTCTCTCTCTCTCTCTTGCCTTCACTCTGTCCTGTAAGTTTCAGATTTTCTAAGCAAGCCTTCCCCATTATGTGCTCTGGATATTTCAACTGACTCTTCTTGATAGTATGCATGTCATTTTTGTTTCCATTTTCTCTAAAACCTCGTCGTTGCTGACATGTTCCGTCCATGGTATCCTCAGCATCCTTCTGTAGAAATTTCAACTGTCTCTTCCTGATATTAAGTAAAAGTTTCCTTTTTGTTTCCATTTTCTCTAAAACCTCATCGTTACTCACAATGTTCGGTCCATGGTATCCTCAGCATCCTTCTGTAGAAATTTCAACTGTCTCTTCCTGATGTTAAGTATAAGTTTCCTTTTTTCATTCCATTTTCTCTAAAACCTCGTCGTTGCTCACATTTTCCGTCTGTAGAACGCCATTTATGTTAGTGATCTTATTATAGTCGTGGTTAATTTTTAATAGTTTTATTAATCTCAATGTGTTATAAAATGTAACAACTTAAAAACGATCAATTTTCATTGTATTTATAAATGCAAAATAAAATTGCTATTTTGCCTCCAATGTGTCAGGGTGTTGGATTATTACATTTCAAAAGATATTACTTAAAAGAAAAAAAGTTTTATTTTAAAACATTTACTTACATGTTTAAAATCAATTCTATTCAAACAATGAAAAATCTTAAATGTTTATCGATTTTTAGATCTGTCAATGAATTGATAAAAGTAGTGTTATTTAAAATCTAAATATGAAAACGAATAAAATAAAAATTTGAAGTGGAAGAAGATAAAATCCTTAGGTTAATTCTATCCGGGATTATACATACTATTTCAACAATTATCTTTATAATATATTCTGTATTTTATTTATTTATTTTTATTTGTATCGTGAAGAGGAATTATTCTTTTGTTCTCTGGCCTTTTTTTGTGGGGGATGGAAAGCCATCCCGTCAATATAGAATACTTGCCGACTTCAATTAAGTAGTCAATCGTTCAAAAGCAGATTATATTTCATTTAAGACTCGCTTCCGTTTTTTCACGCATGTCTGCCATTTTTTATTTCATTTGTTTCTGAAGGAAGCACTGAGTACAACATCTTTTCTTATTTCCCCATTCATTCATTTCCTTTATAATGCTTCGTCATGACGACTTGACGTTTATTGCCTGTGGACTTCCTTTTTAAGTATGCATTGTTCATATATATATATATATATATATATATATATGTTGACGCTTATACTTACGTAGCAAGAATTCTTCATTCAAACAAGTTTTAGTAAAATTGGCCGGCAAGGTTGGCTTGTTTAATTCTTATATGATATTTTTCCATTGTGCGTATAATTTGTCGGACATCTGAAACAGTTTTATAGAGAAACTGTCAAAACTTAATAAGGCGTTTTTTTTTTTTTTTTTTTTTTTACTCAGGATTTCGGTCATCTCAAGACATTATAAGAAAATTTAATAGTTTAATTCTGGAAGGTTTAGGTACGCTGTAATTCTGAATCAATTTCAATTTATTTATTTGTAACCAGATGCATCGTAACTATAAACTAGGTGCCACAGGCAATAACACACACACACACACACACACACACACACACACACACACACACACACACACGCACACACACATATATATATATATATATATATATATATATATATATATATATATATATAAAGTGAACATAGAAGTCAACACGTAGAGGCGACAGTCTGTTTCATGATAGACGTAATGGTCAGGCCTGACGATTGCATATAGCATGAAACAGACTGTCGCCTCTAAGTGTTGACTTATATGTTCATTTTATATTACACGCTCTATCTCTGATATTGATCACTTTATCCCATAAATATAGCACACCTTAAGATTATATTTCTTCATATATATATATATATATATATATATATATATTAAGAAAATATTAAGTTTTTCCTTAATATATATATATATATATATTAAGGAAAAACAAAAGCCGTTGATGGAACTTGCCAAAACGTTAGACTCTTATCCAGAAAAAAAAAAATGACAATACTGAATGAAGAAAAAGACTGAAGGCAAAACTTACCAAATAAAATATAGTGCTCGAAGACTAGACTGCCTAAACAAAGACAAAGACTCTATGAATGTTTTGTTTATCCACGGTTTATTTAATGAAAATCTTTTGTTTTATTTTTCCCGTGACGCGTAAGCGTGATTAATGGTCATCGTTTACATAAAGCTCAGGGCCAGCTTCTTTCATTTGCTTTCAAGTTGCCTGAAGATCTCGTGAACATGAAAATCGTTTTACGACTAGGGCCAGCATGGCATAGAATTTCATGTTGTTGCCTTGATTGGGGATACTGATGAAATACATACATACATATATATATATATATATATATATATATATATATATATATATATATATATGTATATATATATATATAATATTAGTGGTAAATATACACATACATATGCAATCATATACCTAAAATATATATAAATATACATACATACATACATACTTATATTTGTATAAAAATAAATCCAAGAAGATAGAATACAGGTAGAACTCAATGTCCCGGACAGAGTAAGGATATAATAAAAAGGCTTAAACACTAATATTCCATGGTCATAATTTATTCCATTGGAATCGTAAATACGATCCAATTTATCAGACCTACAAATTCAAAAAGATTTTTGAATTTGTAGGTCTGATGAAGAAGATGCTATAAATTACAATTTTTTGTATTGTAACTATTTACACTATTTACATTGTTTGGACTGTTGTCCTCATCAGTATTGCCATTTTCACGACGTTTCAACCGCTGTACGCTCCGTTTTCTTCAGGCGATATACGTTGCAATTGCGAATCAAAACTTTATTTATTCCACGCGGTGTAGATTGTTATAATTTCATTTTTTTCTCTTCTTTAAATAATTCGGTACAGTTTATAGAAAATCAAATAAAAACAGATAATTTGGAATTTTTCGACCCAGCTCGACGAAATTGTAGTAATGTTATGTAGTAATGTAATCAGACGACAAAAAAAAAGCTCGTAGCAAAGCTTACCAGCTTGAAGATGATTGAATTCTATAAAAAATGTTAATATTTTGAAAATTATTTACTTCATGTCGACTTCTTAAAAAAAGATTTGTTTTTTTTTAAATGGTATATATGTAAAAGATTACATTTGTTTTATGTTTGTTTTAATGTAAAGATGCATAAAAAAAATTATGATATCTTAAGACTAAATTTTGATTAACGCAGATAAAAATTGCTACTATGCAAACTGCATGAATGAAAAACAAAACGTTATCAATATAACATTGCTTATATATAGAAATTTTCAAATATATTCAGCCTCTCTTTCGTAACTATATTTTAAAATCCTTTCATCCCAAGCAAGGCAATAAATCCTCTAAAACCCAAGGAGTTACTGAGTCACCGTTACAAGTGGCAAATCTGTTCAAAATTGGAGTGCTGTTGTTATATTCGGGCAGGAACTGTCCAGTCTCAGCTTAGACGAAGTGCATCTCTGCATTCTTATGGGTGACAAATTATTATCCACCCTGTAACACCTCTTTCACGGGCGAGATTTAGCAAGCCTCTCACTACTCGCTATTTTCATGAAAAGTGCTCAGGCGAACTACGCTATTTAGTTTCACCAATTCTAATCTTCACTCCTAACACCCGTCAAGCTACACATATATGCTCTTAACACCCGTCAAGCTACACACATATATGCTCTTAACACCCGTCAAGCTACACATATCTGCTCCTAACACCCGTCAAGCTACACATATATGCTCTTAACACCCGTCAAGCTACACATATATGCTCTTAACACCCGTCAAGCTACACATATCTGCTCCTAACACCCGTCAAGCTACACATATATGCTCTTAACACCCGTCAAGCTACACACATCTATACTCTTAACACCGTCAAGCTACATATCTGCTCCTAACACCCGTCAAGCTACACATATATGCTCTTAACACTCGTCAAGCTACACATATATGCTCTTAACACCCGTCAAGCTACACATATATGCTCTTAACACCCGTCAAGCTACACATATCTGCTCCTAACATCCGTCAATCTACACATATATGCTCTTAACACCCGTCAAGCTACACATATATGATCTTAACACCCGTCAAGCTACACATATCTGCTCCTAACACCTGTCAAGCTACACATATATGCTCTTAACACCCGTCAAGCTACACATATATGCTCTTAACACCGTCAAGCTACACATATATGCTTCTAACACCCGTCTAGCTACACACACACACACACACACACACACACACACACACACACACACACACACATATATATATATATATATATATATATATATATATATATATATGCAGCTAACTACACTCATTCCCTCTGTATTCTATTTGTGAAAAGTAAGTTCCACTTTTCCCCGCGAACCGCTACTCTATGGAACCGACTCTCAAGAGGATATTTTCCCGATCGCTACAATGATAACCTGGTCAAGTCTAGGGTTAATATCCGTTATCTTCTCCACCTGTGCGCTAAAACTGTCTTTTACTCTGTAACACTCTACCTCGATTGGCTCCTGGGTTTTTGGGGTTTTTTTTTTTTTGTACACAAATAAAAACTCTTCTTTTGTAGTTAATTTAGGGGACAGTCACATGCTTGATTACTAAAAGAAAAAAAGAATTCCTACAGAAGCAAATCTCATTCGACTGGTTAGCACAACATAAGTTGCGATCGGGGCATTCATTGCCAAATATGAAGTCATGAAACTCAAATTTAACGTCTGACCTTGTCTTTCCCATCGCATAAACTGCCATTTTTCCAGACTGTCTGAAATAAACGGCAGCTGATAAAGTCTTTATGTCAGATAAGCAATAACGTTCACTATTCGGTTTCTTTCTTTCTGTCTTCCTCTTTTTTTTTTCTCTGTTTCTTTTTATTCTGGAAAGAATATCACCTTTAGGACGCTTGAAACGAAGGAAGTCAAAAAACGGTAAAAGTAAATGATAATCCCTTCATAGCCTAAATAAATAA